TTCTCTCCAGGGACGTATTAGGACACAATCTCCTGTACGGAATGAGTATACTGGGAATTCCACAGGTGGGGTTTCAGCCAACAGTCCACAAAACATGAGAGATGACAACGAAGAATACACTCCGAGAATACAGTTTTTAAGAAAACTATCATTGGTCACGTATCTCACTTCTACCCAGGTACGCTAAATAATATCTCCTATGGCGAAACTCCTCTATCTTTTCCAGAAGCAGTTTGGATTCTGAGAAGAGCTAAAAGTAAATGTTCCATTGAGGGAAGTTTAGTCTCTAAAACCAGTTCTGACAGGTGTTTCTTTAATGTCTGATTCATTCATTCCACTTTCGCAGAGAAGGATGCCATGAAACTCCCATTTTATACCCAAAACTCTCTTTAGTCCCTATAGACTAGATTAAGTAAAAGGACTTCCTTGATCTGAGTCTGTATTTTCAACAAGCCTATATCTAGGGATTATTTGCTCCAGGATTACCTTTATCACCATGCTAGCTGTTGCTGATACTAAAGGAAAAGCTTCTACTCATCCTGACAAAACGTAAATACTGGCAAGAATTTAAATCTACCTACTTCAGGAAAATCAGTAAAATCTAGGCAGCCTATTCCAATGCCACAAACCGTTTAGTAAAGAAATTTCTCGTAATACACAACCTAAACCTCTCCTGGCTCAACAACAGACCGTTTCCTCTCATCTTCTCACTTGGTGGTTGAGAGAAGAGCTCAATCACCACTTTGCTATAACCTAATTCACGGTCCCCTTTCCCCTGCAGCAGCCATGCAGGGACAGAAGGCAGCTCTGGTGCTGGCATGCCCTTATGAATGGGTTGGGTACCACAATGTCTGCTACTACCTGTTGGGGCAGCAGGAGCAAGGCAGCTGGGACTGGAGCCAGGAGCAGTGCTTGACACATGGGGCCTCGCTGGCCATGGTGATGAGGGACTGAGAATTGGAGAGTGTGGGGTGATGGGTGGCTGTGGGGCTGTGGGGCTGGGACAGCAGGGCAGGATATCCCACAGTGGGGCAGCGAGTCCCATGGGGCTGATTGGAGTGTGGTGCTCCAGCAGCTTCTGACTGTCTGCCTCTCTCCTTGCTGCCCAAGACTTTCTGAGGGCCCTCAAAGGCAGTGCAGATTCCTGGCTTGGGCTGTGTAGACAGGGTGAGCGACTGCTGTGGGTGGATGTCAGCAGCTTCAAGGAGAGTCCTGCAACCGGGCAGAGCCCCAGTGTGCTGTGGCCGTGCACTGCTGCTGGAGAGCACGGGGAGTGCTGAGGTTGCAGTGGCATTCCTTGTCGCCACAGTTTCCCAGTGCAGGGTGGTGCAGAGTGCGTCTACTTGAATGGTGATGATGTCCTGACATCAAGCAGTTGGCAGAGCTGGCCTTATATCTGCAGCAAGCCCCTGGCTGTGGGGGCAGCTCCTGAGAAAAGTGACAGAGAAAGGACCTTCTCTGTGCTAGGCACTGGTGGCTCCTCTCATTGATGAAGGATGATGCTCTTCAGAAATCCTTTCAAGTGTTTGCGTCTCTGGTTTTGAGGTCAAAACTGAAGCTTGGTGACTAAGGATGGAACCATGAGATGCAAGAGGTGCTGGCTAACATCAGAGCTGAACAAGACCCAGAGCTATGGACCAGACATGGGGATGCTCTTCTCCGCAGCAGCTGGAAGAGCATTCACAACACCGCACTTTCTTGTGCCCTGTGGGACTTGTTATTATTTATATATGGACAAAATGGTTTTTCAAGGTCCCTTCCAATTCCTAACGTTCTGTGATTCTGTAATATATATGCACATATATCTAAATGTTCATACGTATATATGTATATATGTATATATATCATGTTGTAGTGGGTTTACGTGGCAAGGTTTTGGTAGCAGGGGGCCATAGGGGTGGTTTCTGTGAGAAAGATCTAGAAGCTGCCCCATGTTTGGGAAGGGCCTCATTGTTTTCCAGATCTGAGCTAATAAGCCGTGTTGTTTTGCGCCTCTGTGAGAGCATATTTAAGACAGGAAAAAAACACTGCGACACACAGCAGCCGGGAGAGTCAAGGGAGTGAGAAACAGCCTTGCAGGTGGCAAGGTCAGTGCAGAAGGAGGGGGAGAGGTGCTCCAGGCACCAGAGCAGAAGTTCCCTGTGGCCTGTGGTGAGGACCATGGTGAAGCAGGATGTCCCCCTGCAGCCCATGGAGTACCACGGTGGAGCAGGGTTCCACGCTGCAGCCCGTGGAGGAGACCACGGTGGAGCAGGTGGCCCTGCACTGATGGAGGCTGCCGCCTGTGGAAGACCCCTGCCGGAGCAGATTCCGGGCCGGACCTGTAGCCCGTGGAGAGCCCGTGGAGCAGGTGACCTGGGAGGAACAGCTGCCCGTAGGGGAGCCAGGTTGGAGCAGTTTTCTCCCGAGGGATGGACCCCATGGTACGGACCCATATCTGGAGCAGTTCTGGCAGAGCTGCTGGCTGTGGGAAGCCCACGCCGGATCAGTTCGTCAAGGACTGCATCCCGTGGGTGGGACCCCACAGCACAGGGGACGAGAGTGACCGAGAAGGAGCGGCAGAGAAGAAGTGCTGTAGACTGACCATAACCCCCATTCCCCCGTTCCCCTGCGCCGCTCGGGGGGGAGGAGGTGGAAGAGGGTGGATGGGGGGGGAGGTGCTTTTGGTTTCTTTCGTTTCTCACTTCTCTAGCTTGTTAGTAATGCGCAATAAATCTTACTATCTGTCTTCTTATGCTGAGTGTTACAATAATTACTGCGTGATTTTCTCGTCCTTATCTCAATCCTTGAGCCCTTTTCACATATTTTCTCCCCATTCCTCTTTGAGGAGGGGGAGTGAGAGAGCGGCTGTGGTGGAGCTCGGCTGCCCACTCGAGCGGAACCACGACACATGTACGTACATGAACATTTATAGTCTGAATAAAAATATGTATACCTGTCAGTAGAACATGACTAAGGTAGGTGGGACAGGTATTTTCAACAAGCCCATATGTAGGGATTATTTGGTCCAGGGTGACCTTTATCACCATGCTAGCTGTTGCTGATACTAAAGGAAAAGCTTCCACCCTTTCTGACAAAAAATAAGTGAATACTGGCAAGTATTTAAATCTATCTACTTCAGGAAAATCAGGAAAATCTAGGCAGCCTATTCCAATGCCACAAACCGTTTGGTAAATAAATTTCTCATAATATACAACCTAAACCTCTCCTGGCTCAATTGGGACTGTTTCCTCATATCTTCTCACTTAGTGGTTGGGAGAGGAGCCCGATCCCCACCTCGCTACAACCTCCCTTAAGGTAATTGCAAAGTACAATGAGGTCTCTCCTAAGCCTGCTATTCTCGGGTGTCCCCGTCCCCTGTATCCCCATCTGGGTGGCTGGGTGGCTAAAAGAGACAAATCAGAAAATGTAATGGAACTGTTCAGCCCAACTTTCAGCCTCTACAGTGTAATAACTATATTATTAACTGCTGGAGCACCATGCAGACCATCAGTCTCACGGGACTTGCTGCCTCACCTGGCTGTCCCAGCCCCACAGCCACCCATCACCCCGCACTCACCACTTCGCAGTCCCTCGTCACCATGGCCAGGGAGGCCCTGTGTGTCGAGCACTGCTCCTGGCTCCAGTCCCAGCTGCCTTGCCTCTGCTGGCCCAACAGGTAGTAGCAGACGTTGCGGTACCCAACCCATTCATAAGGGCACGCCAGCACCGGAGCTGCCTTCTGCCCCTGCATGGCTGCTGCAGTGGAAATGGGGAAGGTCACAGCTGTCCCCTCCACCCCACAAAGCCCCCACACTACCACCCACAGAGCAAGCGGTGCAGCCAGACAGGGGATGGGCCTGCTTTTCTTGGGTGTCCCCATCCCCTGGCTCCCCACCTGGTTGGCTGCACCCCTTGCTCTGTGGGTGGTGGCGTGGGGGCTCTGTGGGGTGGAAGGGACAGCTCTTACTTTGTCCCCTTTCCACTGCAGCAGCCATGCAGGGGCAGAAGGCAGCCCCGGTGCTGGCGTGCCCTTACGAATGGGTTGGGTACCGCAACGTCTGCTACTACCTGTTGGGGCAGCAGGAGCAAGGCAACTGGAGCTGGAGCCAGGAGCAGTGTTCGAGACACGGGGCCTCCCTGGTCGTGTTGAATAAGGACCGGGAATTGGTGAGTGCGGGGTGATAGGTGGCTGTGGGGCTGGGACAGCCGGGCAGGATGTCGCACAGCGGGGCAGCGAGTCCCATGGGGCTGATGGAGCGCGGTGCTCCAGCAGCTTCTGACTGTCTGCCTCTCTCCTTGCCACCCAGAAATTTCTGAGACAATTCAAAGACAACGGGGATTCCTGGCTTGGGCTGCGTAGACGGGGTGAACACCTGCTGTGGGTGGATGGCAGCAGCTTCAATTTGACATGAGTCCTGCGAGCGGGCAGAGCCTGATGGCCCCAGTGTGCCGTGGCCGTGCACTGCTGCTGGAGAGCACGGGGAGTGCTGAGGTTGCAGTGGCATTCCTTGTCGTTGCAGGTTCCCAGTGCAGGGCAGCGCAGAGTGCATCTGCTTGAATGGCGTGGACATGGCGACCTCAAGCTGTTGGCAGAGCCCCCCTTATATCTGCAGCAAGCCCCTGGCTGTGGGGGCAGCTCCTGAGAAAGGTGACAGAGAAAGGACCTTCTCTGTGCTGGGCACTGGTGGCTCCTCTCATTGATGAAGGATGATGCTCTTCAGAAATCCTTTCAAGTGTTTGCGTCTCTGGTTTTGAGGTCAAAACTGAAGCTTGATGACTAAGGATGGAACCTGAGATGGAAGAGGTGCTGACTAACATTAGTGCTGAACAAGACTCAAACCTTACGGACCAGACCTGGGGATGCTGTTTTTCACATCATCTGAAGAGCATCGACCACATTGCACTTTGTTGTCTCCCATGTTATTATTATTGTTATTATTTATATGTGATAAAATGATTTTTAAAGGTCCCTTCCAATTACTAACTTTCTGTTATTCTGTGAAATATATTTTTATACACCTATATACGTGCATGTGTTCCATTCCTATGGCGTTAGGGACAGTTTCCTGGTGGGTCCCAGCCAGTACTTCCTTGAGCAGACAGAATTTTGTTCTCCTGAAGTTCAGTGTCCTCTTTTTGGAAGTTCAGGGTCTTCTGCTTTTTGCCAGACCCGTATTCCTCAGGGTCACCAACTCCACCATGTAGCGGTCGTCACCAGGCAATCGTAACCTCTGTAAAGCTCTCTTCCACACTGGTGAGCACCAAGGCTAGTAAGGTTACACCTCGTGTCGGTCCATCTATTACCTGGACCAGGACGTTATCCTCAACAGACTCCAGGAGTCTCCTGGATTGTCTGGATCTCGCCATGCCACTATCCCAGCAGATATCTGGGTGGTTGAAATCCTCCTCAGGACAAGAGCTTGTGAGCACAACAGTTGTAGCTGAAGCAAGACCTCGCCAACATACTCATCAGGTGGGCTGTAGCAGACCCCAACCACCGGTCCGATCCTTGGTTTTCACCCACGAGCTCTCCACCTGGTCATGGCTGTTTCTCAGGCAGAGCTCTTCACAATCTATCCAATTCCTAATATAGGAATTATTTCCTCCCTTCTGAACAGTTCGTAGCCATCAACAGCCACGCTCCAGTCATGGGAATCATCCTACCAGCTTTCCATGATCTACATCCATGGTTCCCTACACAGTCTTCCTCCCAAAGACCACTGCCCACGTCCTGAAGACCCCAGCCCACAATTCTTGGGAGGCTTTGCACAAGGACTGATAAGGTAATTAGCATATGAAGCGAGAGTGGGCAGGTTTAGGTAATGAATATGTATAGACATCAATTGAATATTCATTGTTTTGCTGTATAAATATGAGATAGTTTGTTACTTCGAACATGCACGTTAGGTGGAAGGAACCCCCTATGCATCCAGAACTGACAATAAAGGATACTTCGTCACTTAGAAATTTCGGCTTCGATCTTTGAATCAATATATGTAAATAAATATAGGCATATCTATAGTCTGGTTAAAAAGGTGAATAGAAAAAGCTTTTGGGGTGGTTTGTAAGCAAGGGATGCCTCGTAAGCAAGTGGTGCTGCCTGATGGAAACAGCAGGTGGCAACATCCCCACGAGAACCCTACAGCCCGCTTAGCAGAGCCCCAAGCTCACTCGCTCAGTCCAAACATGCTCGCCCGGTGCTCATTTTGTAGCTGGTATGGTGCTGTGTTTGGGATTTAGGATGAGAAGAATGTTGATATCACGCTGATGTCTTAATTGTCGCAGAGCTTACACCAAGCCAAGGACTTCTCAGCTTCTCGCTCTGTCCTGCAACCGGGCAGGCTGGGGATGCAGCAGGAGCTGGGACAGACCCAGGACAGCTGACCCAAACTGTCCAAAAGGGTATTCCACACCATTCATTTCTAAAAAAATCATTTATTTCTGTCTTAAGAAACGGTCTCTATCTCAGTCCAAAAGCTTTAATTTTAATTTATTGTTTATTTGATTCTCTCCCCAGTGCCAAGGAGCAGGGAGGGGATGTGGGGAGAGAACTGGCTGAGTGGTGCTTAGCTGTCAGTCGGGTTAAGCCATTACACCACTGCATCCACCAGAGGAGCACAGCTAGGAAAATCGACCCAAACCACCGGAAACCACACTCCTCATCCTTTCAAGTTCTGCAATGGAAGCTCAGGGGAAATGTGAGAAAGGGGCTGCTTTGTCTTCTTGCAAAACCGTGACTCATGCTGGAGCCCGGCTTCCCAGGCAAGGGCCGAGCATCCGATGTGCGTTAATGAACCTTCTCTTCGTTGTCTTCAATAATACATGCTGTATGAGCAATGTATGGAAATGGGGGATATGGCCCTGAAGGAAGGAATAGATGCTAAAGGGCTAACTGTAGAACTTCTGCAGGTCTAGAGAAGTCACCCCATGCTGATTTTGCAAGTTTTAGCTAACACAGATATACATCGGAAACTAACCACAAGGAAAGGACTGAGATGGGATAATCCTACAAGACAAGGGGTATCTATAACCATTGTAAACACTGGCTAGCAAGACATGAAAAGAAATAAAATGGGAAGATAGCACATCCTCTGCTGAGCAAGAACTGGTTTAGATGAGTTTTGTGGCTGAGGTGAAAAGTCCATAGCGAGGAAGACGTACGGCCTTCCTGAGGACCCAGCCCACGACCACGAGGAGGCACTGTGCGTGCGCAGCCAGGAGGAGGTGAAGGCAGAGCGGATGGCAATGATTTCTCGGAACTCATTGTAATAAAGACCGTCCTTTTGTGGAGAGGTTCAAAGAATCACAGAATCAGAGTTGTCTAGGTCAGAAGAGACCTCAAGATCATCGAGTCCAACCTCTGACCTAACGCTAACAGTCCCCACTAAACCATATCCCTAAGCTCTACATCTAAATGTCTTTTAAAGACTTCCAGGGATGGTGACTCCATCTCTTCCCTGGGCAGCCTGTTCCAATGCCTAACAACCCTTTCGGTAAAGAAGTTCTTCCTAACATCTAACCTAAACCTCCCCTGGCGCAACTTAAGCCCATTCCCCCTCGTCCTGTCACCAGGCACGTGGAAGAAGAGACCAACCCCCACCTCGCTACAGCCTCCTTTAAGGTATCTGTAGAGAGCGATAAGGTCGCCCCTGAGCCTCCTCTTCTCCAGGCTGAAGAAGCCCAGCTCCTTCAGCCGCTCCTTGTAGGACTTGTTCTCCAGGCCCCTCACGTTCTTCGTCGCCCTTCTCTGGACCCGCTCAAGCCCCTCCACGTCCTTCTTGTAGCGAGGGGCCCAAAACTGAACACAGTACTCCAGGTGCGGCCTCACCAGAGCCGAGTACAGGAGGACGATCACCTCCCTAGCCCTGCTGGTCACAGTGTTTCTGATACAAGCCAGGATGCCGTTGGCCTTCTTGGCCACCTGAGCACACTGCTGGCTCATATTCAGCCGACTGTCCACCATCACTCCCAGGTCCTTCTCTGCCTGGCAGCTCTCCAAACACTCATCTCCCAGCCTGTAGCTCTGCTTGAGGTTATTGCGCCCCAGGTGCAGGACCCGGCACTTGGCCTTGTTGAACTTCATGCAGTTGACCTCAGCCCATCGGTGCAGCCCATCCAGATCCTCCTGCAGAGCTTTCCTACCCTCGAGCAGATCGACACACGCACCTAACTTGGTGTCATCTGCAAACTTACTGAGGGTGCACTCAATGCCCTCGTCCGGATCATTGATGAAGATATTAAAGAGGACCGGCCCCAGCACCGAGCCCTGGGGGACGCCACTAGTGACTGGCCTCCAACTGGACTTGACTCCATTTACCACGACTCTTTGCGCCCAGCTATCCAGCCAGTTTCTAACCCAACAAAGCGTGCGCCAGTCCAAGTCAAGAGCAGCCGGTGTCTTGAGGAGAATGCTGTGGGAGACGATGTCAAAAGCCTTGCTGAAGTCAAGGTAGACCACATCCACAGCCTTTCCCTCGTCCACCCAGCGCGTCACTTTGTCATAGAAGGAGATCAGCTTCATCAAGCAGGATCTGCCTTCCATAAACCCATGCCGACTGGGCCTGATCGCCTGCTTGCCCTTCAAGTGCCGCATGATGACTCTCAAGACGATCTGCTCCATAAGCTTCCCTGGCACTGAGGTCAAACTGACAGGCCTGTAGTTCTCTGGGTCTGCCCTCCGGCCCTTCTTGTAGATGGGCGTCACGTTTGCTAGCCGCCAGTCAGCTGGGACCTCCCTTGATAGCAAAGACTGCTGATAAATGATGGATAGGGGCTTGGCCAGCTCCTTTGCCAGTTCTCTCAGTACCCTTGGGTGGATCCCATCTGGCCCCATCGACTTGTGCACATCCAAGTGCCGTAGCAGGTCACCAACCAGTTCTTCATGGATGGTGAGGGCCACATTCTGCTCCCCATCCCCTTCCACCAGCTCAGGGTACTGGGTATCCAGAGAACATCCGGAATTGCCGCGAAAGACTGAGGCAAAGAAGGCATTGAGAACCTCCGCCTTTTCCTCATTAGTTAATAACTAATAGTTAATTATAATTATTAGTTAATAACTTAGTTACTAGAGAGTAACTAAGTGTCCCCCCGCATCCAGGAAAGGATGGAGATTCTCCTTAGTCCTCCTTTTTGTGTTGATGTATTTATAAAAACGTTTTTTGTTCTCTTTAACGGCAGTAGCCAGATTGAGCTCCAGATGAGCTTGGCCTTCCTAAGTTTGTCCCTGCACAGCCTCGCTACATCCTTATAGTCCTGCCTAGTGGCCTGCCCACTTTTCCAAAGATTATAAACCCTCTTTTTTCTCCTAAGATCAAGCCACAATTCTCTGTTCAGCCAGGCTGGTCTTCTTCCCCGCCGGCTCATCTTAGGGCACGTGGGGACAGACCGCTCCTGCGCCATTAGGATTTCCCTCTTGAAGAGCGTCCAGCCTTCCTGGACCCCTCTGCCCTTCAGAACCACCTCCCAAGGGACTCCACCAACTAGTGTCCTGAGCAGCTCAAAGTCAGCCCTCCGAAAGTCCAATACAGCGGTTTTACTGGTCCCCTTCCTGGCCTCGCCAAGAATAGTGAACTCCACCATTTCGTGGTCACTCTGCCCAAGACAGCTCCCGACAATCACATCCTCCACCAGTCCTTCTCTGTTTGTGAAGAGAAGGTCTAGTGGGGCACCACCCCTGCTAGGCTCACTAACCAGCTGCGTCAGGAAGCTATCTTCCACTTTCTCCAGAAACCTCCTAGACTGCTTTCTCTGGGCTATGTTGTGCTTCCAGGATATGTCAGGGAAGTTGAAGTCCCCCACGAGTACAAGCGCTGACGATTTCGCAACTTCTGTCAGCTGCCTGTAGAACTCCTCATCCGTCTCCTCATCCTGGTTCGGCGGTCTATAGCAGACCCCGACCAGGACACTAGCCTTGTTGTCCCTGCCGATCCTAACCCAAAGGGACTCGACCCTTGTCATTCCCAGCCTCGAGTTCTACAACATCGAAAGACTCTCTAATATAGAGAGCCACACCCACCACCCCTTCTGTGCTGCCTGTCCCTTCTGAAGAGCCTATAGCCAGGCATTGCAGCACTCCAGTCATGAGACTGGTCCACCACATCTCCGTGATGGCAACCAAGTCGTAGCCTGCCCCGCTGCACGATGGCTCCAGCTCCTCCTGTTTGTTACCCATGTTGCGTGCATTGGTGCCGATGCGCTTCAGCTGGGCATTTACGTTTATCCTCCGGCCTTGCCATTGTTCCCCCTGGCACAGCCCCAACAATCCCTGCTTCAGCCCCATCCCCCTTCTTATCTAGTTTAAAGCCCTCTCAAGGAGCCCTGCCAGCTCCTGGCCCAGGATCCTTTTTCCCCTCAAAGATAGGGACCCGTCTGCGGCCATCAGGCCAGGTGCTGAGTAAAGTGCCCCATGGTCGAAAAACCCAAGATTTCTGCGTTGGCACCAGCCCCACAGCCACGTGTTTAACAGGTGGGCTTTCCGTGTCCTCTCTGTACCCCTCCCTGCCACCGTAGGGATGGATGAAAACACCACCTGCACCCCCGCTCCATCCACTAACTGTCCCAGGCCCCTAAAGTCTCGTTTGATAGCCTTCAGGCTTCTCTCTTCAATGTTGTCACTCGCCCGCCTGGACTATCAAAAGAGGAGAATAATCAGAGGGGCGTACCAGGTTGGCAAGCTTCCTGGCAACGTCCCTGACCCTGGCCCCAGGGAGGCAGCAGACTTCCCTACGGGTAGGGTCAGGCCGACAAATAGGGCCCTCTGTTCCCCTAAGGATAGAGTCTCCAACAACAATAACCCTCCTGTCTTTCTTGATGGAGGCAGTCCTGAGGCGTGGAGTTGACCTCCTCGCCCTAGGCATCCTCCTGGGAACACTTGCTACCTCTTCCTCAGCTACTGGTCTGTCGAGCTCCCAGGCCTCAAACCTGTTGCGTAAGGGCTCCTGGGAAGGTGGGACCGGAAGGGGAG